GTAACCAAACGACGGATGTCCTAAGCGACGATGCCATAACCAAAGTTGGTGCTTGTCCTTGACACTGCCACTCAGAGCTTTATTAGGGACACAATCACGAACTGCTGCAGCCGGCAACTGTAAGTAATATAACCCCCCTATCCGTTTACCATGCCCAATCTTCTCGTGAGTCCTGAGATCCTGGAAAAAACAACGGGTAGAATAGAAGGTAGCAGAAGCGTTAAGTGTATCAAGTAAACGCCCAACAGATAATAAATTGCAATGAATATTGGGAACCAAGAGTGCATGAGACAGGGGTAAAGAAGGAGTAAGATGGATGGTACCTTCACCGGTAACTGGGGAAGGTAAACCATTAGCGCTAGTAATATATGGGTCACGAGGGTTATGCAACAACTCATCAAACATTTTATCATTATAAGTCATATGATCAGAAGCACCAGTGTCAATTATCCAAGTAGTAGAACCCATACCTGGCATAGTATCAGAAGCACACAGATTTGCAGATGGAGTTGGAGGACGGGCCTCATCAGGAGTCACAGTGTAAGTGGCCTTAGGACCATACATACGAGCTTTGTAGTCAGCAAACCAATCAGGGTAACCATGCTCCTTAAAACACTTTTCAGAGTAATGATCCCCATTACAATGGCGGCACTTAGGCGGACCTTCAAGAGAGGTGGAGGCAGAAGGACGAAACCCAGCAGAAGATCCAAACTTTTTTTTGCGGCGGGCGACCGGTCGCTACTTGCGGGGAGACCGGTCGGTGACGTGCTGGATCCAAGAGCCAGCGATCCTCCTCCAAGCATAGCGGACTGACGGGTATCTTCCTCCATGACCATGGCATAGGCTTCGAGAGGGGGTGGAACAGGACTAAGAGCAAGAATACGGCTACGAACACCATCATACGGTGGATCTAGCCCACCAAGAAAATCATAAACTCGATCGGCTTCAATTTCTTTCAGACGATGAGCCCCATCAGTAGAACAAGTAAACTCATGCGGACGCAGACAATCAATCTCTTGCCAGATAGCATGAAGTTTTTCATAGAACACTTTCACAGATTCACCATTCTGACCTATAAGTATAGATTGCCGTCGGAGTTGAAACAAACGAGAACTATTTTGAGTCACAGTATAGGTCTTCCGAGCAGCCTCCCATATATCAAAAGCAGTATCACCATGTTCGAACAAGGCACGAACTGGTTTAGTCATGGAATTTAGAAGCCATGACTGCACCAGACAATTATCTTCTTCCCATTCGGTATAGTCAGCGGAGTCTTGAGACGGAGCAGGCTTCTTCCCATTGATCCAACTTGCCATACGACGACTAGTTATCGTAATACGCGCACCACGAGACCAAGAGGCATAATTGGAGCCATCCAATTTGTCAGATGTAATGAGGGTAGAGTAATCACGCGAGGGACGTGCCTCCTTCGGTGTAGAGGCACTAGTACCAGTCACAACTATGGAATCATCACCCATGATAGATAGCAGCGGAAACAAACACAACACAAAGCAGATACGATAAACACAGCACAGGCACGGGCACAAGAACCCTAAAAAGAAATTAGGGCACATAGTAGAACACGGATGGGCACAACACACACAGGTCACCAGAAACTAGGCTCTGATACCAAGTCAAACAATATGGTAAAATATTTTCAGATATATTTCATTCTCCGAAAGGAGGTATTTATAATACAGGTTACAAACCCTAGTAGGGTTTAATTAGGAAATAAGTGGAATCCTAATTACATAATATCTACACAAAAGATAAAATAAATAAAACCCAAATAGAATAGGACTAGGACTCGCCAACAAAAAGGTTGCAACACATGGAAAATCACTTGGACAAAACCGCATTCTCTCGTCAAAGCAAAAGTGTGATTTGGAGTCCATGGACAGGGTACGAAAGGAAAAAGAAAATTAAAAACGAGTGAAACATTTGCAGCCGAAATGATTTCAATGGAATGTTGCAGATTATTTTATTTCAATAGGAATTCTTTTTGTTTTCTTTTCTGATGATGAAGGTTTCACCAAATCCCTAGTTAAATATGCACGTATGCATGATTACTATATTTTATAGATTTTGATAGGATTAAATATGCACGTATGCAACATGTGATGATGAGATGTGAGGAAGAGAAAGAGAAAGAGTGAACTCGTGAAGTGGGCAACGAATCTATGAGAGATATTGGAGGGGCTTTTGCTATTTTTATTTTATGGTTTTGTTCGCTCGTTCTCAAAGGTGAAGACAGCAATAAATAATATATATATATATATACAAAATTCATTACTCTACTTTCCCGTTATATTCAACCCCTCACTCCAACAAACAAAACAAACGGTGGATGATGCATCTCTCTCTCTCTCTCTCTCTCTCTCTGTTACTTGGTATCCTTAGGGCATCAAATTTTTAGTCAAAATAGTGTCACGGGCTCGGAGAGCGTGCAGCAGAAGCAAAACACATTTTGTTCACTCAAAGCACAGCCCCTGCGACCCAAGATCCCTTCATATTAATTTTTCTGAAATCAGCCATTCTCATTATTCCCAAGTCAAGGACAAAATCACCCAAATATTAGCAATTTCTTTTGTGAAACCCGAACGTCGTGTAGATTATCACGGGAACAATTATCTCTCGAACATAAACTTAAGGAGTTGCTATACTCCTTGGGAGAATGTTGTTGATAGACATGTGACGCTTAAGGCCAATGCCCCATTAAGATATGAATGGGAAGTATTCAGAAAAACATTAGAGAGTTGACATTACCTATTCCATGCAAGTTGTGTTCGTGCAGGTATTTGCACCATTTTATATAATTATCTAGAACTTTCAAAAAAACTTATCAGTAATTTTTTGCAAAAACATATTTTTAAACTAAATCAAGATTCCAAGTTTCTAAACGAAACTAATAACGATCATCATCCAACGCATTAGTTTCTAAGTAAACATAAAATGAAATTATAATAGTTATTACAACCCATAACATGAAATAAACATAAAGCACTATTAAATTGTCATGTGCTTATAATTACAAGCCAAAGCAGCAATAATTAAAATACATCATCGATCAGCAACATACCCATCCATCAACATGCGGCTGTAGAACAATTCTAGAAAACACAGAGAATATAAATTATAGATCCAGAGAAGACCCGTTCACTATAAGTACAACAAACTTTCCTTGTAGGAGGCAATGAACTATAACTACATGACCTGTAATAGGTTTGAAAGTGAATAATAAAACTAGCAGATGTTTGACTTAATACCTCTTTCCCACTCCATACCCATACCAAAGTTTTTGCTAACACCGTGCTTTTTTTTCTTTTCTTTCTTGATACCATGGCCTTCATCTGCAAGGAAATACGACATCAATCCTTTTAAGTTGCAAGAGAAATGTAAAAAAAATGAAAGAAAAAAAATTCATGTATTGCAATGTATAAAAATTGTTGAAGTGGATCGACATTCTATTAAGAAGAAGCTGAATGTGGAAATATTAATAACGACGGTCTCTCTCTTGGTAAGTTGGTCATTGATGATATCTATCCGCCAACTTGAGGGGGAGTGTTAGCTAAAGCTATGTTTCCTTGTTTTATGGGAACATTATTTACATGTTTTATGGGAACATTGTTTTCTTGTTTCATGGAAACCTTGTTTTCTTGTTTGTAGTTGTAGGACTTGTATAAATATGTTGTAAGTAATAGAATCAATCAAGTTGAAAAACCAGAAAAATTATCTTCTCTCATTCTCATATTCTCCCATATTCTCATATTTTAGCATAAATTAGGTACCTCAAATTGCTCGTTAGGCATGATGGTTTTGAGAGTTTTGGGGTGTTGTGTGGAATTTGCTAAGGGGGTAGGGATGAAGAGACTTGGTTTCAGTTTTGTGCTTGAGAGAGAGAGAGAGAGAGAGAGTTCAAAACCAACACCAGCTCTCTTAACCATGGAAATATAGCAAAAATCAGCCAATACTCTCGCCAGATGCTGTAAATACTGCATTTCCAATATGTATTGTCAAAAACTAAATTAAATTAGGTTTTCAGAAAGAGAGAGAGAAAAAAGAAAAGAATTTGAAAAGTCTTTTTCAAAGACATTCTACTCAAGGTCAACAAATTAAACAAGAGCTTTTTTTCCAATAAGAAAACATAATCGTAAACACAACAATGAGAAGCATTAAAGCAAAGCAAGCAAAATATATAGCAAAATGGGAAAAATTATGAATAAAATAAATACATACATAAATAAGGGTAGGAAGCCACACTCAACAATTTTGTGCTTGAGAGAGAGAGAGAGAGAGAGAGAGAGAGAGAGAGCTCTTCGGGGTATATGATACTGCCTAGGATTCTAGGAAGTTCTGAAAGAAAGGTCTCTGTTTGCTTTGCTGATGGATGGATCATGGATGGATGCTCCAATCCAATCCAATCGTACATGAGATGATATGACCCAACCCCCACTACTTTTTTTCAAAAAACCAAACCAAGAAAAATCTCATCTTAGTGTGAGGTCAGAGTCATGAAACACGAGAAAGTTGATTCCCCGCTGCTATCTTCCCAAGCCAAAACCAGGAAAATAACAGTGACGAAGACCAAATAACCAAAGCCAGTCATAGTCATAGGCGAGGACAAATTAATGTGCCAAAACCAAAGCAAAGAAATGGAGCCCATAGTACGGTACAAACTACAAAACATTATTGAAACACACTCGCGTAGGTAGAATCTTAATTAATTAGTTTACTAACCTTTTGTTTAATTTGTTTTGGATTTATGTTAGAAGACTGATTTTCATTTTCTAACTACAACACTCAAATCTTGGAGCAATGCTGAGATGCGGGCCATGATGGTCACGTCATCCTACTGTTACCTAGGTTTGCATGTTTCATTCGTTCAACACATTGAAAATATATATATATATATATATGAGATAGGGATCATAATTAAGATTCTAGGAAGAAACTAGTGAAATGTCTGTGTCTGTCTCTGCCTAGGATTCTAGGGACTACATAAAGACCTCTGGTTGCTGAAATATAAAAGTGTTTGACTAGCCGAGAAAATTGAAAAAGAAAAGGTCTACTTGTTAAAAGATGTAGCTCGGTCAAGAAAGAAAACATGAAAGTTGATGTCTTTTTATTTACTTTTGCATGAGATTCTTGTGGGTAAAAGACGAAATTGACTTGAATACTCTGAGAAGAGCAATTTCAGCTTTGACTTTAAGATGTGGTAGTTAGCTGGATTTGAAAAACAAAAAAACAGAAGTGCTAGTGCAGCTGAATTTAAGACGTATCAATGATTTGGTTTTCTTTCATGAATCATGATGATGAAGTGATTTCACTTGGTACAAAAATGATTTGGTTTTCCTCTGCTCTTTTTCTTGCAGGGGATGCATAATGTTAAAATTAATGCACACTTGTGTTTTGAATAATATAGAATAATCTAGAAAAATTGAGAGAAGTTGACAAGTTAAAGTCACTAGAAACATCCTACTAATTATATAATGTATTATAACTAGAGAAATCTATAATTAGAAGACAATGTGTGGCTGAAAAATGATTTTGGAAAAGTCGGTTACTGTGCAACCGACTTGTCCAAGCAAAGTTGCCGAATTAAACAACTCTATAAATATGGTAGCAAGCCCACTTATGTAATCAAGCAAGAAAAGCTGAAAAACTACAACTGTCCAATTCATACAATCATCAAACTCAAGTATTAAAGCCTTATACCTTTCCTACTTCAATCAATAGAATAAAATTACCTTGTTACTCTTTCAAAAAGTTTTCTATTCCATATCAAGCTATTGTCCTAAACACTAAACCAACTATTCTCTAAACCTCTTCTCCCTTAAACTAACACATAAAAAAAAATCACATACAGAGAGAAGATTCTCTTAGTATTCATTATGTCTAACTAGCAAGCTTTGTCATCCCATCTACATGTGCTAGTCTCGACAAACAAAGCATGTATTTGATTGAATTGATTTGGATGACCTTCCTTCACCACCTTATTTCACAACAAACCTAACCAATCGTGTTCTCCATGTACATTGGGCCTTCAGCTTTTGATGTCCATTCTCTCTTTGCCCTTTTTGGGCTTGTATGAAATTTGTTTCAGCGCCAAAAAATAGAGGAAAGACTTGGTTTTTGGTGGGTGGGTGCGTGTTACGCATGTTTCTAAGTGGATTTACCTTTTCCTTGTTTGGATGAATACTTTTTCCTTGTTTGGGTGAATAATTTTGGGTTGGAGTAAAAAAGAAAGTATAGTTTTGCAAATGTAAATCTCAACCAGTAATGCGGTCGCCTTTATATTTGAAAGCAACAAGTGGGTTTTGCGTTTATACTTGAAAACAATGAATGGGTTTTGGTTTTTCTCAACTATCTTCTCTGCCTGCCTTGAATTGATTTTCTCACATGGAACTGCACTGGAAAAGCTAATGCATAAATAATCTGTATTGGGTTTTGGAGTTGCGGTGTCAGGTGAGATCTCTGAGCCTTCATTCGAATGGCAATGGAAAACAAATTGACAGTTTTCTCCGAAAAAACAAGCACTGGCTGATACAAACTAAGAACACACACACACTGAAAAAGGGTGCTCAATTAAGCCATTTCTACTTTGGCTTTTGCAACATTTATTAGCTCCAATTGTGACATTGCCTTACACCCACATGCCCAAAAGTAAAGCATTAAGCTCTGTAAGTGTGTGTAGGAGAAGCACACAACTGCTTTTGTATTTACTCCTTCCTTGTTTTGGTAGTGTTAGGCTGTTTTACACATGGGGACCTTGTGCTTCAAACCCAAAAGCACAACTTATATTGAGACTGTACTTTGCTGCATGCCAAAATGGGCTAGGTAGCAGCCACCATAGCCACATTTTATGGCAATCTGTTAAAGGCAAATCCAAGTTCACAGAAGGTGATCATCTTCTTCATATAAATTGACTTGACTTGATGAATTATTGATCATCACTTTATGTCTTCATCAATCATAATTAGAGGCTAATTGCTAAAGCTTTCACTTCAAGCATGAAATTTGTTTGAAAATCTACATTTAGACACACTGGGAATCATTTAGCCTACTCTACTCTAATTAGTGGGCCGATGAAGAAGACTATATCGTGATCATTTTCGGCTCATTTGATAACGTGTTTAAGAATATAATGCTAGCAACCTTCTCTCCAACCTTCTCCTTTGGACCTTCTCCCCTTTTCTCATGACATGTGTCCATGATAGCTTGTTTAATGCATTAATTACATTGTTTTAAGTGTAAAGAAAGGGACACATGTCATGAGGTAAGGGGAGAAGGTCCGAAGGAGAAGGTTGGACAGAAGGTTGCTAGCATTCCCCTTAGAAGATAAGAGAGATATAGTAACTAGCTTTCTCATCAATGTTCCAGGGTCATATATATATAGGGGTGGAGCCAAATACAGGCCTACAGTGGCCGTGGCCCCCTAAGCTCAATGAAAAAGCCAATAACTCTTAAATACTTGCAGTAATATCAGTTGAAATCTAAGGCTATAAAACCTTATAATTACAGTACTATGACGATATATATATACATATATGCATATATATTATAGTGCTGCTGCCCCACATCCATTGCAATTATATATGAGAGACTTTTGATACATGACACAACCTATTACTTATTCTCTACCAGAATCTAATACATACAAGTTGAGTTAGTGCACGTTCAGTATTGCTTATTTTAGGTGATAAGTGATTTTAAAAAAAATTTGGGAAGCCCAACCCGTTTGGTAAACTATGAGAAAATCACTTATTGTTAAAAATTGTTGTGAGAGAAAGCTATAAAGGAAAGCAGCTAATGAGGTGCTTTCATTTTCTGATTATGCGGGAATCAGTTTCGAAGAGGCGTTGGGTTTAATGATTATGAGGGAATTATTTTCTAATTATGCGGGAATTAGTACCAACAACACTTTTAACAAAAATTTTACCAAACGCCAAATTGTTTTATCTTACAGCTGATTTCTCTCACAGCGATTATTTTTACAGCATAGCAATGCCAAATTGGCCCTTAGAATGATAAATGGCTCCTTAAATCAGTCTTGTTAAAAGCTAACTGCCTTTTCTTTTCCAATTAAATGCTTCCTAATTAGCATTTGTTAATTACATGACTTTTAGTTTAGATCCTTTCTTTTCTTTAATTATATGTCTCTTTCCCTCCTATTCTCAACCACAACCACTTCCCCATCCCCCTTTTTAAATATATTTTATGTCTTTAATTAAATTACAATTAGAGCTACCACACCACAACATGATAATATTTTAAGACAATACCGATAATATTTAATTTGTAATTTCAAAAACTATATAATTATAGTTGTGGAATATTTATTATTCTTCTTCTTTTGCTTCTACTTTTGCCTACAGACACGTCCATAAATAGCCTACTCCTCCATGTCAGATTCTTGTGGGTCTAAATCTGTGGTCATCAAAATTATAAAAATATTAGAACAAGGAATTGTTTTACTTAATAATGATCCTCTCTTGATTATTTTATTAATTACCTTGCTTCTATTTGACCATCCCTGAAGGTAAGAATAAAAATTATGAACATATTCTAAAATAAAGTGTCATATCACTTGAGCCCCATGCCTCTTCGGATAAGTTTAATCGTCTTTGGTTGCTAATTGGGGACACTTACAAGCTTGTAGTTGTGTGCATTATTTCTGCCGTATTATTAGCCAACAGGAATTGCTTAATCAAATCCATGTTAATTGTCAAACTAATCCCAATTAAGAAAATGGGTAAGTTTGTCAACCATAAAATATTGAAAAGATGCATCGATCTGTGAATGTAAAGGAGCCACGTACAATCTCAACATAACCAATTGAAATCGTTGCATGGTAATGTCATCACTGCAATCACATCCCAAAAGTTAGGCAGCGCCATGGAAATATAGTCAATCCTCTGCTTCAAATGAAAGTGCAGATTCATGGTGGAGGAGGATCTTCCATCTTCCTATCTCAATCCAATTACTTGGCTGGCTCGTCTTCATCTCTCAATCAACCTCCTGACCTTTGCCTAACCCAATTCCTATATTTTCCATCACCTGGCTTATGGACCAACCACTACATGCCACGTGCCTGTTTCTCTTCATTACCTCATGCTGGAACAAAGGAAACAGGACCCACATAGGCCGGCGTCAACCCTTGACCTTTAGATTATTAATTACTCTTTCTTAATTAAATTTGGTGCAAAACCTAAGTTATACCGTATTTACCTTATAACATGGTTTGGCCTCTCATCAGCTGTGGCAGCACTGCCCATTCATTCTATCTTCACACATACGTGGACGTCGCTTATTGGTTCTTTTTTTAGGTTACCCAGAAGATTAAAATTCCTAAGACAAGCTAACATCACACGTGTCCAGTCCTAACTGGAATGATGGAATTCTTTCCTGAAAAGGAAAGATCAGTCTCCTTGTATTTGTAGACAAAGTGGCAATTGTGGCTGGGCATGCATTCCATATAGAGATGATGACCCAATTTTTTTTATTCACTTTTCCAAATAATTCTTAATATGCAAATTGGTTGGTCAATTGCAAACTTCTTTTTAGGCCCGTTGTAATTAGCCCACATTAAAAAGATATTTAGGCCACTTTTTCAGTTGATTTTAATTGGCCAGTTAGTTTTAGGTAGAAAGATTTGAAAGCAAAAACAATTGTCATGGAATTTTGGCTGATTTGATTTGAGCCTCACAATTCAAAATTTTTGACCTAGCTAGCGGAAAATTAAAATATGGTGGTAAAGAAATTAATTCGTGAAATACTAACTCTGAAAGAGATTTCAAGTTCATATTTCTCAGTCTCATTGCTGAAAAGTAAAACAATACGTGAATCGTCGTTCCTTTAATTCTTAAATAACTCTCCGGGTGGTACGTAGCCAAATTTTGTGGGGGAATTGGTTACATTGTCTTTTCAAGTATTATATTAGCTAGCTAGTGTGGGTTTGTATTTAATTTAACATGCATGCATGACTTGCAAAAGCATTATTGTAATTAAAATAAGCCCCTAGAAATGAATTAAAGTCAAATGGGGACTCAAAAAGTAGCATTTGAAACCTGCATTCAACCATAAAGAAAAAAACCAACAAACGTTACATGTTGAAATTACACTATTATTGTTAATGGAGAGGACAAATTAGCTTAGATACATTAACAGATTCATTCCAAACTTTCTTTCACCTAACCACTAACCACTTAATGGCTTTAATCACTACGCACATTTACATACACCGCCACTTTGATTAATTAGTTTGGTCGTCAATCAGACAATCCTTTGATTAATTAGAAAATTCCTGTATATGAGTTAATATGAGCACTGCCGTGTTTAAGTGTTAAAGACTTTTTTATTTACTTTTTTTAAAAAATTTCCATAACTTAATTCGAGCTTAATACGAAATTAATGAGTTAAGGTTCATCATTGCTTAAATAACACAATTGTCAGCATGAATAATAATAAACAAATTGGATTTTCGGGCATGATCTTAGGGGGACCGAGAGGGGTTGTACTATCAGTGGCAAGGTTTCCGCTCCGACTTGCTGTTGAACGGATAAGGCTATGTAGTTAGACCGACGACTGAGCCCGCATGTGTAGAACAACTCACCTAATCCCTGATGACATAGCTTGATTTTTATATTATTTACTTATCTTTCCATCAATATAATGAGAAAAAAAACATCATTCACGGACAAAATGGCGATAATATTTTTCAAAATTAAAAAAAATATATAGTTTTTCTATGCATTTATTTTCCTGTTATAATTCGGTACTTTGGTTCAACCCTTATTGTTGTCACTTTCCAGTGATAATAGCATGAAACTCCATGCAGTGTCGACTTCGTAACCATTTCAAATTTCCTCTGTTTTTTTCGATATTTGTTTTGAAAACAACAGGGTCATAAAGGTCATTTCGGCGTGAATAAAGTGGTCTTTAACTAATTTTTGAGAGCTGGACACAGCAAAACTTCTGTAATCTTCTATGCATTTGCCACAGCTGTTCTCACTACAATTTATATTGGCATAAAAATATAGTATTTATTTTCATCAAGCCTCTAATTTTATTTATTTTCAACCAAAAAACAAAAAACAGATTATATTTATTATTATGAGCTTCTTCAAACTCTTTATGACGTGTCACGTGTGTGCCGATGATTCAGGTACGTACAAATAAAACAAACACCATCCAAATTCCAATAACATCAGAGTCCTATCCACCCTCTCACAGAATGAATCTAATTGGTTGAACTTAAAATATAATTAATTTAATTAATTAATTAATAACCAATCCAAAATATGGTATTGACAAAACTGAAACATATTTTAATTAGTAATATAATTATTTTAAAAAAAACCATGCACAGTATTTGGATGGTGTTGTCCATGGTCAAATTTTTAAGAGGGGCAGAAGGGAGGAATTATTACAGAGAAAGTTGAAGAGAAGCTAAAACGACCTACCTAAGTTGCCTTCCATTCCACGTTTCTTTCTCTTCCAAAACACCAGTATTTAGGGGCTTCTGTTTCTCACACTCCTTTTTTTCTCTTAACACCTCATCCATCTGATCCATCTTCCAGCTCTCTCAACTTGTTCCATGGCTTCTTTTCTTTTCCTCTGTGCCCCTACCTCTTCTTTCCACTTACCTATCCCTTTTCCTTGAGCTTTTCTCTTTTGCTCCTTGGAAACTTACTTTTCTGTTTGAATCTTTCTGGGTTCTGTTTGTTTCTCTATAAATAAAGTGTCTTGGAATTTGGGGAGTTGGGAAACTGTGTTTGGTTTGTACCCATTGAAGCTTGAGAGACTCTAAGTTGTATTTTGAGGGTGGTTTGTGAAAACTATGCCTTGTTGATCGAAACCAAGATTCTGAAATAGGGGTTTTAGACACAAAAATTCATTGGGGTTTTAGGGAAAAAACAAGGAATTAATGGAAAACGTTCCAGCTGGAATGGTTGAGCAAGATGAGAAGATCGATTTGCCACCGGGGTTTCGGTTCCACCCAACCGATGAAGAGCTTATTTCTCACTACCTGCATAAGAAGGTTATTGATATCAGCTTCTCTTGTAAAGCAATTGGGGAGGTGGACTTGAACAAGTCTGAACCTTGGGATTTGCCTTGTAAGCTTCTTCTGAAACACAGTCTGTTTTAATGTCTGCAAATGGTTGGAATTTGCTTTATATTAATTTGATTTACTTTCTTTTTGGTTTCTGGATGAAGGGAAAGCGAAAATGGGAGAAAAGGAATGGTACTTTTTCTGTGTAAGAGACAGAAAGTACCCAACTGGTCTGAGGACAAACAGGGCAACTGAAGCTGGATATTGGAAAGCCACAGGGAAAGATAAAGAGATCTACAAAGGAAAATCCCTAGTTGGCATGAAAAAGACCTTGGTTTTCTACAGAGGCAGAGCCCCCAAAGGAGAGAAGAGCAATTGGGTCATGCATGAGTACAGATTGGAGGGTAAATTCTCTGTTCATAACCTCCCCAAAACTGCAAAGGTATTTGCTTTTCCTCTGTTTTCCCCTGTTTTTAACTCTGTTTATTTGTTCATGTATTTTGATTCTAATGGAAATATATTGTGTCTTCTTTGCAGAATGAATGGGTGATTTGCAGGGTTTTTGAGAAAAACTCTGGTGGCAAAAAAACCCATATTTCAGGATTTGTGAGATATGGTGCTCTGGGAAATGAAATGGGTCCTTCTGGTCTGCCACTGTTAATGGATTCTTCACCTTACAGCTCCAAAACCAAACTCGCCTCTGAGTCCTCTTACGTGCCCTGCTTCTCCAACCCTGATCCCACTGATGTTCAAAGAGACCAAGGGATTGTTGATTATATGAACAACCCTCTTTTTGGTGTTTCTTCAAACACCTCCAACTTTTTCCCAAGAGCCCCATTTTCCAACTCATTCTACTCTGATCAGTCTGCCCCAATTTCAGCAAATTTCCAGTTCCCAAGTTCAGTTTTAATGCAAGACCAGTCCATTCTGAGGGCCTTGCTTGAAAACAATGGTTCAAACATGAGGCAGAGCTTCAAAACAGAGAGGGAAATGGTCAGTGTGTCCCAAGAGACAGGCCTGACAAGTGAAATGAACAATGAAATCTCTTCTGTCATGTCCAATCTTGAGATGGGAAGGAGGCCATTTGGTGATCAAGAGGCCCCAGCAGCAGCAGCTGGAGCAGTGGACCTGGATAATTTTTGGAATTATTAAAAATTTCAAATAGCAGCATTATATATAAGATTGAATGTGTAGTAAAAGAAAAGAAAAAGCAGCTTCTGCTTCTGCTTCCAGTATTATTGTTGTGAGTTTGAATCTTGATATTATTGTGTATAGATTTTCTGAATCCAAATGGAAAATTGAATGAAAGTGAAGCATCTGTTATGTACTGTAAGAAATTATATCATGTATTTAACTTTTTCGTATTGAATTATATCATATATTGGCCTCATTCTTGTGAAGGTGCTCAAGTACAATATTGGTGACATATGAGAATGAGATTCAGTTGGTGGAAATGATTTTCTTTTCTGTTTTTTACTCTTTAAAAACTTTGTACCTTTAGTTACATCATGAGTTGGGATTTTCAATCTCTGGTGTGGGGGCTCAGGTAAATGCGGTGTTGACATTCTCTCTCTCTCTCTCTCTCTCTCTCTCTCAACACACACGTGCATGTCACCCTCAAACACACGGAGGATTTTGATAAATGAGCATGCAGTTAAGTTCCATGTAAATCATTGGCCTAGCTAGGGTTAGCTTAGAAATAAAATTTCGACCTCTCTCTCTGATTAACTTTGACTTAAAATGATGTGAAGTTTTGTATTCATATATTTGACAACGCTCATAAAAAAAGGACTAATTATTTCATGGGAATAATTTTGTATGTTACAGACAGTGTTTAACAGCTAATTTAGAATCAAATTATGAATAAAATTTCTCAAACCATAAATTCAGATGGGTAATGTGACCGATGATGCTGAGTGAGTGATTAGCAAACGAACTATTACTTCCATGATTATTTGACTAATCCTTGCTTACTTAGTCAAGATATGTTCAACCGAATCATGAAAGATGTGGAATGAAATGAAATATGAAGTTGACATATCGAAATCATGGAAGCTCTTGGTTGAAAATGAGCTTAGGAGGAAACTATTAATTGTAGAGAAAAAACACAGCTGTCTGAAATCAAGTTCGTATTTCGGGATAAGAATATGAAAACAATAAAAGTCTTTGGTTTTTTTCACAAAACTCCCTAGGATTTTAAATTATTTTCCCAAAACCCCTATTTGTTGATTTTTTATCTAAAGATTAATGATTTTATATGTAAAAAAATTTATACAAATGATATAGTGAGCCTTTGAGATTGGATTGCACATATAATTATTGAGGTTGATTTTGTCATTTGCACACATTTTTAAAAATGAAATAATCAAGTTTTTGACGAACAATTAACGAAAAGGGATTTTGTGAAAACAATCTGAAACTTGAGAGGTTGTTCATGTAATTCTCAAAACCTTTGGAGTTTTGTGAAAAAGTTGAAAATATGAGAAGATGTTAGTGTAAATAACTCTTTCATCTAAAGATTAATGATTTTATATGTAAAAAAATTTATACAAATGATATAGTGAGCCTTTGAGATTAGATTGCACATATAATTATTGAGGTTGATTTTGTCATTTGCACACATTTTTAAAAATGAAATAATCAAGTTTTGGACGAACAATCAACGAAAAAGGATTTTGTGAAAACAATCTGAAACTTGAGAGGTTGTTCATGTAATTCTCAAAACCTTTGGAGTTTTGTGAAAAAGTTGAAAATATGAGAAGATGTTAGTGTAAATAACTCCTTTTTTTTTTTTTTTTTCGGGTACTAAAAGTCATTGCAGTTGAAGGAAGGAAAACGGGATCTTATATTTAAACCCTTTATTATATTATATAGCTTACATTTTCATGGAGGCTGTCACACGAGATTCATTCCTAAATGTTGGATCTTCAACGCTGTCCTCTCATCCAATATCTATGAATTATGATGCAGGCAATCCGTTATCAAGCTGTAAAGCATGATGTAAGAATATTTACCTTTATTTTATTAATTAGTTTTTATTTTTGTAACATGTGGGTTTTAGTTTTGACACATGCATGGATGATCCAATCACGAAAGAATTTGAGTCCTGCACGACATGTTTCTCATCAGTAATATTATTATTGTGCATATGATTTTTGTCATCTACAGATTCATTTTTCTTGACACCGAATTAATAAACCCCCAATCCCCAAGTATCAAAAGTCACCCCTCATTTAATCACCCAACAATATCAAGGTCCCCTACATGCTCAACAATATGATCTCAGGCCACCCTTCATCAGAACATGAGCAAGTTATCGCGCAAGGGACTTGTAGCTCAAGCGATAAAGAACAGTTACTTATGCATCTTCTTAAGTTAGGTGCACCATATATATGCACCGGGTATCAGGTATTTGAAGGAAATATTTCTAATTTCCAATTTTGTACACCAGGTATATGCACCAGGTATCCTTTTCTTATGAAGCATTCTACTTGTAGCAAAAAAAAGAAAAAGCTATCATCTAATTCAAAAAATTATTGGATCTTCAATTCGAAAAAGTTTGCAATTCTGTAATTTCAGAAGATCGCCGTGGGTGTTTGTGTCAATCCAACGTGAGAAGAAAAGCGACGTAACGGAGTCCCATCAGAGTTAACGTTGAATGTTGTGAGGTAAGATTCGGGCACAGAGTTAGGCCTTACTAACGGTCGACACGTACCCCGCGCTGATCCGACACGAGCTTCATGTTTTGCTGGCGTCACCGGGTAGCCAACCAATGCGAACGCTTCCCGCTACTCAAGGCACGCCACGCGGCCTCAGGTGTTATGGGCCTCCCTCAAGCTATGCTCTCTCGTGGAAACACACAACCCTCCTCACATCATTCACTGACTTTTGTCACCAAAAAATCTTTTGTTTTTTTCCTTCATACAAGCTTTGATAGCGATCAAGAAAAACAAAACACTTCGTCTTTGTCTTCACTTGGTTAGAGGAGATTTCAACTTCGATTTATAGAGATGATTAAGACAACATGTATTTATGATGAATTTGATATCTAATTATCGTTAATTTATTGTAGTGATATAATTTTGTTACGAGTATATTAGTCAATCCTGCAAGTATAAATATTTAGCAAAAACAAACAAAAGAATAAAAAAGAATGTTCTGTAAAAGAAAACTCTCTCATAACAAAATATCAAAATTCATTTATAGATTTACATATATAGGAAGTCGAAAATCAAGTTGCAAAGTTCCTTAATGGTGGCATTATTTAGTCTTTATCATGTGTAACTGCTCGTATGGTTTATATATATTTTTTATTTTAGGATACTTTCTATTGAAATGGGTGATAACATACTAAATTCACACACATTAGATGGATGTTAGGACCCGGAATCTTTATTGGATGAGCATTTGCTCCAAACTACTACACTAGTTGAGTCTTTTGTTTGATCGCATGGTTTTTTTAAGAGAGATTGGGCACCCCCGTCACTATAATCGTATATGGAAAGGCCTCCAAATGTAGGACTTTGGTAAGAAGAAAAAAGTGAATATGAATCGAGTAAAAATAAGAAGTAATTTTTATTTATTTATTTATGGGTACAGAATTGAAAGAAGAATTTCAATTGGTTGGTTTGGATAGAGTGTGATGTGTGCGTCAATCAATCTTATCCTTGTAACCTCTTTTGTAAAGTCCATTGTTTTGCTCCAAAGCTAGATAAAGAATTAGCGATAAGATGGAGGCATTCGTACTATTTATGATTTTATTTCCATTATAAGAACAGATTTGGAGGATTATCCCTTTCTAATTTATTTCACTACCTTAATGCTTGCGGTTTTTGTGAAAATTGGTAGGGAAATTGTTCTTATGCTCACAATAGAAAGGGTTAAATTGCTAGGGCATGCACGATAGCTGGGATGTGGAGTGGAGACATACTTGTCTGGTTTGGCATGCACGATACGATAGTGCTTTCTCAGTGTTTGGTATATTTTAATTATTCTTTCTGATATTTTAGTTATGATGTAAATGTGACAAGTTTCCATGGTTATCTCCTAAGTTCGTGATACCTTATTTTTAATACAAAGTCCATTTAAAGGAACGAAAACATTTTCATTTTCTGATTCATTTTCCTTTCCAAGCATTAAGATAAGTCAACCCATTAAAGGCATGTCTAGTTCGTGCACGTCACGATCAAAGAAAGAAATGCAGCAAAACACTTCAAATAAATATATTTTGCTTTCATTCTTTCATTCAGAATGCATGGCCACATATACACTTCAATAACATGAATCCAGCGTACGTTAATTAGTAGTTAAGCCTAATCACTAATTATTTAATCATCACAAGACACACAAACGGGTTGAAAAGCCCAAATTATATGTGACCTAACCTATTGCAAGCAAGGCCCAAGAAAACAGAAGAACGCCAAACTATTGACTAAGCTACGACAAAGCATACCAAATTTTTGTCACAAAGCGATATTCTAACTATCTTAATGTACGGGAATAGAGATCAAACTCGGTTCAAAAGGGTTGCAAGTCATACTGCCTTAAACAACTCTCTCGTAACCTTCATATGTACCCACCAATTACTCTATCATTGTTTTTTTTTTTGGTATTGAAATAAAAAATTGATCTAGTCGTTGGTGTTGTGGGCATTTGTCAAGGGCTTATTTTTGCACAGCACAAGTGAATGACGGGGCAGTGGCCTATGAAAGTGGTGGCCCACGGCACTGAAGATATTTGTGGGATATGCAAATCCTTGATTACAGAGATGCTCATGTGAGGTCAAATATACAAGTATTTTCCACATTTAACTTGATGGGGCCAAAACCAGCTGCCTCAAGTCCCCCACCCACCATTTGTTTATGTTCACCATTTGGATACATGTGGCTTCAAATTTGTACTAATTCTTCAAACACACGCATGTTCCTTGCTCATTACAACAACCCCAGTTTTCTAGCTACCTATAGGTCATGACTCATGATTGAGCCCAAGATCGTTGGCATTATATATATGCATGAGTGTGTGACCTAGGTAAATGTTTTCAAATCATTTCAACATAGTTTTCTAGTGTGCGTGTCAACAACATGTGGACTCGCGTCTATCATCAGTTACAATATTCGATGACATTCCACCCTTTTTAAAGACATGACGGCCGAGGCCGATGGAGTTTAGTCTAATGAAAAATGATATTGATTTGTAGATTAGAGTTCTTATACTCGAACCTTCATGACACGTTATATAGTCTAAAGACTTATTTGTGTGTTTTTTTTTT